CCCTCAATCTTCGTTCGTATAATGATAACTTTATTCTACTGAACTACATAGTTAATACAACAATTTCTAGACAGCAGTTGTTTTTTGTTTGTTTATTACATTATTCACCAAGGGATTTGACATTATTTGTTGCGGCACAATTGTACGTATTTGTCGTCGCCAAAAATATCGAAAAGACTTACGCATCCGCTTGCGAAGATGTGGTACTGTACCAAGACATGTAAATGGGAAAAGAAAGATAACATAATGAGCAAAGAAGTTTGAATATTTGGTATAATCCAGACCTACATAAGATGGAACGCCCAGTTCTTTAGCGATACCCAAAAGTATAGGAGGTAAATATATTACAAAGAAAATTGATGTAACAAACAAAAGTTGAATTGTCATTTTACGATATTTTCGCCATTGTATCTGACATTGTAAACGACGCTTTTGCAAAACAATACGAATAACCAGAAAAATACTACCAAAGCCAATACATGAAGAAGATAGTACGCCACCAGACATAAACTCATAGAGAGAAAATGCCGCGGAATTATATATACAACTATAATAACTACATAAATTTGAATTGTAAATAAAGGGTCTATTACAATCATTCATTGGAGTAGTAATACCATAGAGTATTACACCATATAGAATAATCAATATTAGTGGTGTATAATGTATGAGATAATGTCTCTTGTTTGTTGCAATCCATTGACTATAAAAAATAAGAATATGTCTTTCCACTGATGTCCATCCTACAAGTTTTGCTAGTGAACTATAAACAGTAGAGTCAATAAATCTCCAAATCATGCAGTATGTTGGTGATTTTATCCAAACAACACCATATAGATAAAAATGCATCACCCAGGGAACAGTTGTTAGTTCGCGAATAAGACACAAGAAGAGAGCAATAATGATAGCATGATTATGAAGACTGTGACGAAGAGTTGAATTAGAGAGAAAATGAAAAAGAACAAAAATACAACAGGTAACGGATAGGGTATCTGAGACGAGAAAAAGCCAGAAACGAACAATATAAGGTATAATAACACCATCAGGAGGGGGGTCTATAGTAGCGGTAGTTGAACTAGTGTTTAATGCTGGCATTTCTGCAGATGTAGAATATGTTGTTCACTAAAAATAAAATAAAAGTAAAATGTTTATTGTATCAAATTATTCTATTAGATCAAAACTATATGATAAGAATTTCATTAAAACTAATTATTTCAAGGAAATTGAAAGAAAACACTCAGAATTTAAGAACATCATTTAAAAAAATCAAATTTCAGTTTACACATGGTTTAAAACATATAAGTATCTAAATGAAAGAATTAAGAAAGATTATGAAGTTATAATCTTACTGTATAATGAAAAATTTATCAAAATAAAGATTCCTAATGATAAAAACACATTTAATAAGAAATTAATAGCTAATGGTTGGAAATTTGTTTTAAATAAAGAAAAAATTTCTTCTAACTCAACTGAAAAATGTGAACAATCATTGATAACTTATCTTTTGAAATTAAAAAGAAACAAAATTATAGAGAAATGAGACCTGACATATGCACGAGAATGCCGGAAGCATTTTTTTAAAACTAAAGCACATTATTAACACCTGCAATGAATAGCAACACATCTTTTGTTAAAGATTCATTTAATTTTGTTGATAAAATTAAACAACACTAGAACTAAAGTCTTTATTTGATGTATGCTCACTTTTTTGTAACATACCTTTAGTTGACACTATTAAAAATACTATTAAAAACATAAGAAAATATAATCAAAACTTAAAATTAAATGATGACGCACTTAGAGAATTATTTTATTATTGTAGTAAGTATTTCAACTTCACTTTTAATAAGGATCATTATAATCAGATTAATAGGGAAGACATTAGCACCAATTATTGCACACTTACTTATGCATAATTTAGAAGAAAATATAAAGGCAAGAGATCTGAACTATATTATAGATATATGGATGATATCTTTATGATTATAAGCGGAACACAAAAAGATATAATAAAATTATGTTTGTATTTAAATCATAAACATGAATTTGTTATTTATTGAGTTTTACTTACCGTGATAAGAAAAAGCTAAATAATAATATTATTCATCAATACAATTGTCAAAACTGTAAAAATTCTTATATATGACAAACTTTTCAGAACCGTCGAATGAAAAAACATGTCCTTTTCAAAAGTGAATTATTACGCATTACCGACACATCTCTTATTTCCATTTTATAGAACTTTCATTCATACCATCACAAGTACTTTGCAATAATCAACGTAAAAAGAAGTGTGTGAAAACAGTATTTATCTTCACTCAAGTTTTATTGTGCAATAGAAAAATAGAATTCCATTTAGTAATACCAAGATCAGAAATAGTTCGTAATTTTAGGCTCAAATCCATATTCGAATAACACTATCGGTGCCAGGATATCGTACGATCTTTGAACTATTGAATAAGTTCATCATCGTTCTCCTCAACTCTTAAAGTCTTAAAATAGTTGTCATCTTTACATACCACATCTAATGAATAAAGATTTATGAGATTTTTGATAAGATAGATAAGACTTCGCAATGAATACCTAATGGTGCTTGAGTCAGTGTAACACAATCATCTTCATTGAAATAATGGTTCATCTTTATAGATACCAATACAACGTAGACTAAGAGCTAGATCGAATAGAGCTTGTAGTTGCTCTTGAAAACTACCGACATAAGATGAGACTGTTAAAGATTTCAGGCGATTCAAACTTAGAACAATGGATCAAAACCGATCATTGATAGGCATTTCTATATTAAGATATTCAATATTAAGTAAACGAGTATGAAATGGAATCATATTATCAAAACATGTCTGGTTATAAACGTGAGTTATCGTACTACAATATCATTGCAAGTATTCATGTGGGTATGTTGATTTGAAAGAATCGGGGTTGAAAGGTCTATAGTGATTATAATCGAATCTACTAGATGCTGTGTGCAAATGAATCGTTGTTCCTCTTGTAAAACATCGAACAAACCATTGATGTTCAATAGTCCAAAATGAAGTTTGATATGAATCAATTAATTCATTGACTTCTTGTTGAATACTTTCTTCTGGAAATACATCTTTCGTAACCATTGAGCAACGTAAATCCTGTATCGATATCCAAATAACGTAAACGACCGAAGTCTGAAAAGAAAACATCTATTTCCGAAAAGTTAAAAGATTTTCTGATTAAAACTTGTAATCTGGTCAATGTTGGAAATGCATGTGATATATAGTTCTCATTGACATTGCAATCGGTCAACATCGAAAGATGTTTAAGACAAGATGTATATTTAAACAATTCAATTATTTGATTTGATCTTACTTCATTTTCCATGGACATATATAAATATTGTATAGATTTTGAGATATTTTGTGGCATGCAGAAAGAAGGTAATTCACCAGTAATGAAAATACCAGAGGTGCAATGAGTAAGTTTCGATAAAGTCCATATTCTATTAACAATGAACTGAATATGACTCTGCTTGCCGTGAAATCCACATGATTAGAATTTCAAATGAGTAAGATTACAAAGATGATGACATTCATCAATAATTTTTGTTAATATTTCATATGAATGAATGGAATCAAACGAAAGTGACCGTAAGTGAATGAATTTCGCAAATGATGGTATATATTTGACAAACAAATGAATTTGTTCTAGAGTCTTTTCACCACTACTAAGCGCAAGAATTATAGTTCGATCAGCAATGAGCGCTAAATGTTGTTGACAAATCATGTTGAAAGTACGTTTTGATAAATAGTTAAAATTAAAACAATACGTTCGATATTGATTATGAAAAAGGAAATATACGTAGAAGATATCAAATAAAATTTCTTTAGGTAATAATTTTAAATTCATCGTATGTTTATTCTTCTTACTTATTTTGCTAGTGTGCTGTAAAAGAATGTTCGCCTTTAAGTAAGAAAACAATACAAATGCAGATTTCTACTTTTCTGTTTTCGTTTTAAAATGATAGTTCGATGGTTTTTTTTCTTCATCTACTGTAACTGAATGCATGAATCACTTGTACAAATAATACATGTCAGAATGAAAACGACCACAGTTATATATTCACTGATTATATGGAAGGAATAAAAAAATAGCTAATCCAAAGAAAAATACTATTTCGGAATCTCTTTGTCCAGGAATATTACATTTATACAAAAACATATCAAATCTGATTACTTCTTTATATCTGTGTGTATATTTTCGTCTCTAGTCTTGAGATAGATTCACAAATTCTGTCGATGTCAATTGGTGAAAAGCAAGAATTCAAGAGTATACATTGAAAATATTTCATGTAAGTTAATCCATCTATATCATTTGCTTGTAACCTCTAGTTTTATGTTATTAACAAAGAGAAAATAGTACAAATGTGAGCGTCCACGGCATATTTTCTGTTGTCGAGAAAGATAAAAAGAACGCAAAAGAACGATCGGAATTTATTCTGTGTCGTACACAGACAAGAGGAAAGAACGCAAAAGAGAGTATTTGCAGCGCGTTTCTTTCTATTAAGAAAGAGGAAATAACACAAAAGAGTGTATTAGTACTCCACGCTGTCATTTCTGTAATAAGTATCATGAGATAGAACGAGTAGAAAATTTTGTCTCGTTCTTACTGTTGAGTTTGTAGTATTATATTATGGAGATATATATATAAAGCGGATGATGTGATGTTGTCTAAGAGGAGAAAATTCTGTATCAACGAATATATATTATAAAAAAGTAGTATTGATATTTTTTTTAGATTAATATTTCTCGAAGATGTCGTTATTTGGGTGGTATTTTGGATCAGGAAATATACAAAAGACATCCAATAATCTGTGTTCTGCTGCAGCTGAAAAAGACTGGTTGTCACATAATCCTAATCAATCTTCTAAAACTGTGACACAATCATCGGTGTCCAATCGTACTTCATCAACTTGTGCCTCTACTAATCACTCTGATCCTCTGCTAGTACTAAACAACAAGGTGGCTACAAACGTCGATCATCAAAGCAAATCATCAACTACAAAGAAACAACAATAATGTAAATAGATATACAATACGAAAACAATCATATAAGAGATAAATATTACAAACGTCTATCATAGCATCACAATAACTATGGTATAATGGATTTTTATATGTTTTTAAATTTTGCTTCCTTTGTAAAACTTATTTTATTCAAATATTAAATGTCAGTTATCATTAATATAAACCATTAAACGCACTGACAATCCACATTTTCTTGTTTATTTAGCTTGAATAGAATATACAAAAAGAAAATACAGAGGTAATTAAGAATTTTAAAATGTTATATTGCCTTCAAAAGCATAATTGTAGTAATGTATATTACGACGCTCGTTATTGTGGTGGTGTTGTTGAAGTCGAAAGTTTAGTACTGCAGTCGAATCCATCATATCCACTGAAACACTTACACAGCCCATATCCATAAGCATCCAGTGGTCGACAAACACCTTGATTTGGATCTGTACATTTATTTTCACAGTATACCAGCGATGTTTGGTTAAGATAATCCTCAAGCGTTCGTTTTATATAATCAGCTTTCAAATCAATTTGACTGTCATTACCAAAGCGTTCACTTGTAATTAAATCGAAAATAGGTTGAAGAGTAAACTTAATTATAACCGGATTCTTAGGTACTGTTTGAAACCATTCATTGAGCTTTTGACTGGCCGCAAAAGTCGCACCGCCTATGCATATTCGACACAAAAAGAATCATATAACTCGAGTAACAGAATTTAATTTTTCGATTTCCGTCCTCAGGTCAAATATTCGAAAGTATTGAATAATGGAATTGTTTATCGAATAATTTATTACTGTTCAAATGTTTTCTGTAGAAGAAATCAAACTTACCGACAGTAGTTGCTGTTGACGATTTAACATATTTTTGAAATCCCTGAAGTTTAATCGAGTTTTCACTTTCATTTTCATTATAGTTAAAACTGAAAACTTTAGCAAACGACAGTCCAATCATTTGTGTAGTACTCTGATATTCTTGTTCTATCGGTTGAATCGATGTTTGATTTATCACAGTAGTCATCTGAGCAATTCCACCTAAAACAAAACTTCTTCTTAGGATAGAATAACAGATAAAAATTTTAACATACCGAGTAACATTTCAGTGGTATATGTGAAACCGAAGTAGTTGAATACATAATCAGTAATATACTTCGCCACAGCTGGTGTGTACGTGCTAGTCGGTAGATTATCGATCACATAACGAAAATTGTCAGATAATTCAAGCTTCGGTGCAAATAACGACAGTTTTACTGTAGATACTCGAGCATATGTATGATATACGATCGAAGCATCTCGATAGATGTGATTCATCATTTTTGTGGTCTGTTCAGATTGACCATATTTGAAAGAAGCTTTCAATACAAGATTAAGAATAGGATTTGATGTTAAAGGAACGTCAACACCAAAGCCCCAGCTCATTCCACTTGCAGTACTTTCTTTCAATTCGTTGACATTAGAGATTTTTTGAGATTTTTCACGTATTTCAGCTGCTGGAATGCAGTCAAGCTATCGATAAATGAACAATTTTAGTTTTAAAATCAATTAGTTGACTGATTTCTTCGAAACAACTTACTTCAACATGCTTTGGAATCAATTGTGATGTACATGAGCCTGTTGGAGGATTGGTATAGTCGAGCTGAAAGAGACTTCGACCATAGCCGCTCATATGACAATCACCTGTATAACAGACTGGATCACCTCTTATCTAGAATAATAAATGAAATTCAAGTTCATCCTTAGTTTTTCTAAAATAACTTACAGGATTGTATCCAAAGGCAATTTTATTTGAATTAGGTAACCAGTTAATATCATCAGCTTTCGTGAGTGATTGCTGTGCAAGATAGCGACCGATATTATCGTATGTCACCCACTGCTTCGCTTCTTCGATATCTTTATCACTTACGATTTTGTAAGCAGATATCATAGTTATAACCAAATTGAGCACAATGAGAATTAATTTCCACATTAATGTTGTACTTGATAACCGGAGGAGAATGAGAAATAATTGTATATGAAAAAGAAATCAGTCTCACTCTTTATAAAGCAGTGTATTCGTATGATAAAAATATTGACAGAGCCTTTGAGTCGGCGAAATTGTGATTATTATGAAAATTCCAACATAAGAATACTTATAATAAATATTTATTTTTATGATTATGAGCGAGGAAGAGTAATAAAATCTTTCAGCAAATATTTTAACTCGATAGCGATAAGATATTTTATTTTAATCGGCATCAGTCATTTCTGTTTTACTCAATGCTCCTATTGTATACTATGAATTTCAATATTTCGTTTGTATGTTTATACATTTTGATGGCATCGATGAACATATCATCTATGAGTGTTCAACAAGATGAAGTAGATATCGACTGGTTGCCCAACAGTAATAAACTTGCTCTTGGTTACAATCCATCACGTGGAAATCCAATATGTTATTCTGGTGATTGTATAATGAATGGATTTGGTGCACCAATCTTTCAATTGAAATATACCAAACGACCTGCTGGTTCTTGTACGACGAAGCTATTACCTGAACATGTCGAGGTAGAGAATCTTTTGATAAACAGCGTTTTTTCTATTCGATTCCTTTCAAATAGGCTATATGTATACCATCATCCGAAGTTAAAGCCAAAACTGAAAAGATCAGTACATTTTATGAATATAAAGAAAGTTATCAGAAGAGTGAAAGTTCAGGTTTTAGCCTTGGTCCTATTAGTTTCGGATCATCTGACGAGACATCATGGATGCTTGATAATATCTACAAGTATAATTATACAATGTATTACACCTATGTTCGAATGTCATTTGTAAAGCTGATATTATTCGAGCCTCAATTAGAATTGACTGAAGAGTTTCGAGCAGCAATTGCTGCTATGCCGTGTTGCCATGTTGGCTGTGAAACAACCGAATCATATATTCGAAAATGGATTTTCGAGCAGTTTGGATATACTTATCTGAATGAGATTACACTCGGTAAGTACCTTTATATTTCTTGAAAGAATATTTTCTATTCTTCGATGTTGCATATTAAGTCTAGTTTAACATTCATAATATTAATTTCAGGCGGAGTGGCACAACAAACTATTACAATTAATAGTTCTGATATCGAAAAGATGTATCAAGAGAACTTCAACAGTGACAACGAAGCGGGTTTCTCTTTCGGACTGACCTTTGGAATGCACGAAAGTGAGTCACACAGCAAGGGAAATCATAGCAAATTTATGACCTATGTCAAGCATATCTATGCATCAACATCAGGTGGTCAACCATTCGATAATTCAGTGCAAAATGAAACAATCAAAACAAATCAATTAAATGAATGGTTCAAAACAGTACCTACTAATCCAGTGATTACACGAATGAGAATAAATAGATTGACAGAACTTCTCACAAAAAAACGATTTCCATCGGATCCATTGATCGAAGACAAAGCTAGACTTATCGAATTAGTATGGGCAAAATTTGATGGAAATCAGACATTGGTCAAATGTGCGAACGATTGCACTGATGCATGCCATGGTCGTTGCATACCGACTGGCTACTTCCAGTACGGTTTATGCAAGTGCAATCCGGGTTTTACTGGACACGATTGTTCAGTAAGCACTATGGCATAATAAACTATTATATTCTTTACTAAATCAAGAATTTCAAATAAACCAGCGAGGTTTTTGCTTGTATTAATCGATTTCGAGAATGTGGGTGTGGGTGTGCGAATCGGCGGTTTGTTTGTTTTTAGCACACCCACAACCTCAATATCAATTGTCTTTTTCTTACTATTCAGTTGTGAATATCATCCTGTACATAAATAACGTATAAATGCAAAGTTAAAACTATCTTACTCTTTTGAATACATATAAAGATCTGTTGAGCCTTAACCTCATATCCTTATTCACACAGATCCTTAAATAACTTGAGTTGTGCATCTCTTCGACAGTAATAAAATAATCAGTTTCATTGCAGTTTTTATCTGGAATTAAAGGCAACGCTATTAAATCTCAGAATGGAAAGAAAATATTGACGTTACTGGAAGCTTAGTCAACACTAATCAGAAGATTAAACCCTGATATATTTTATAACTTTGAAATTTGAGCTTAAAAAAACAACAACACAAACTTACAAATAGGATTCCACTTGTTTTTTTTGTATTGGCATTTCTCGAGAGTGTGGGTGTGGATGAGATTGTTTTGTTCACCACACCTAAACTCTAGTGTGTTAATGACTAATTTATTATTGCATATTTGATAGCCTGCATTGTAGAGTAAAATGAGCATTACTCATGATGTAAGAGAATGCTATTTCGCGTACTGAATGAAGCATAAAACTGATTCTATTCATAGCGCCATCTATACACTGAAATGGATATCGAATACATTTTTAGATTTTTTAATCTATCTTTTAATATATTTTCATGGCATTTCGAATTTGTTATGTGCTATATTAACATAGGAAGGATTGCCAGAGGTTTATAATGATATCTCTATGGTATCTACGTTTAATCAAGTAATCAATGGATGATTTATTTCCTATTGTATTTCGATTTTAATTGGATATTAAATTTATCACAAATATAAAATCTATTTTGAGAATGTGGGCACTGTGTTCTTCTCTTATCCACATATTCACTCTCAATTTCTGATTTTATAAAAATAAATTAATTCTAGATGAATATGAATTTGCAAGCTCTTTGTAATCTTCTGCAAGCACAGTTTGAGCTTCATCCTGATCCGGAACGTGAAAGTAAAGTGTGCGCTACTCTATCTGCATTCTACGTCTTTCATAGACGAGCAAATGATTACGCTCAATTACGTGAAGCCTCTGTTGCTAGTATTTCTCAACGACTTTTTACATTATTTGACACTGCAGCGACACTTGTCTTACCCGATTGTCCAGAATTACTGATGGAACAAGATGATGCCTCCATGATACTGTTTCAAAAGATCAACAGATATCTTTTTCAGGAACTCGATTTTAAACTAGAAGAATATGTTCATGCCGAGACATCCAATCTCTTTACCTTATCATCACTTATGATACTACCATGTAGAATGTTATCGCCATTGCCATCCCTACCAGTTTCATCATCTATGCCTCTTTTATCTTCACTATTTGAATTACCTTTACCACCTATAGAATGGGCAGTTAACATCATAGAAGAACTAGACTATACTGTCTATCTTGCACTCCAACTTAAGCCACCATTAATCGAATGGATTCAGACAATCATCGACAAACACTACAATCCCAACAGTCTCATGCTGTATCTATGCATTGGATGGGACGCTGTGATGGCCCGCTACTATGAAATCATAATGACTCCCATTGGCACTAATCATCGTGCTCAAGTACTAAACGCTTTTATCGATAGATTACGCAATACTATGTGCTATCCTGCTCGTGTATCTATAGTATCAGCTTGTATTGCTTGATATGCAGCATAGATGTCATAATACCGTTACCCCGGGTATCGACAGTCAGACGGCAGGATATCCTAACATGAGGTCAACGAAAGTAAATTACCATTCACTCCACATATTATACCAAGGAGTAATGACTTCATTACCCCACTAAAAAATACATTCATTATACAAGTTGAGGAATATGAGTGGATTTGGGGTAACGAGGTGGTTACACCAAATCAACTCATATTCCTCAGCTTTTCACATATACTTCATTTTGGGGTAACGAGGTGGTTACACCAAATCCACTCATATTCCTCAACTTTTTACATGTCGTATATCTATAAAGCTGAGGAATATGAGTTGATTTGGTGTAACCACCTCGTTACCCCAAATGAAGTATATGTGAAAAAACTGAGGAATATGAGTTGATTTGGAGTAACCACCTCGTTACCCCAAATGAAGTATATGTGGAAAGCTGAGGAATATGAGTTGATTTGGAGTAACCACCTCGTTACCCCAAATGAAGTATATGTGGAAAGCTGAGGAATATGAGTTGATTTGGAGTAACCACCTCGTTACCCCAACAACCCACAGCGACATCAGTAGCCACAGCAACAAGTGTGGGTGCTGGGAAAGCCAGGCCAATGGGCAAAGCAACAACTGTGGGTGCTGGGAAAGCCAGGCCAGTGGGCAAAGCAACAAGTGTGGGTGCTGGGAAGGCCAGGCCAGTGGGCAAAGCAACAAGTGTGGGTGCTGGGAAGGCCAGGCCTGTAGGCAACGAAACAACTGAAGGTGCTCAAAAGCAGTGCATCGGCCGCAATATCTTCACAAAACGACTAACGAAAGGCAGATTTCAATCAATCCTATTTCATCTACGAAATCCAAATTAAGTGAACTGGAGCGCAATAGTCACGTTAGCTTCAGGAAAGATCAATGGCAACAATCCTTTTCACAATTAATCTCTAACATACATGGTTATTCATGATAGTTTCGCGAAATAAGCGAATCAATCTAAGAGACAATATCGTTATCCAAACGTTAATGCCCCAGATCCCCGCATATTCCTCAGCTTTTCACATATACTTCATTTGGGGTAACAAGGTG